TTTGAAAAACACGTGATAAGTGCGTTAAATTTGAATTATGTTTATCGCTTTAAAAATATGCTCAGGGTGCGTTTAAAAATTCAAACTTATTTCGACCTTTAAAAAATTTGGATCTCAAAAACCATTAAATGAAAACTTCTCTCGAATTCAAGAAAAATATTAAAAGACCTATGGTACGCCAACGAGTCCTTATTTTCGATATTGATTTTTTTTTGGTACCTTATTTTCGTTTCTATGTGAAGTTTCATAGAAATACATTTATGGCATGCGTTTAGAAATTCAAATTTTGAAATATTAACAGGACCTTTTGTCAAGATGTTGGAGGAGCTATGTCGCTATAACAGTATTAACATTAATAATTAAGTTAAATGTTCTGAGATTATAAAAAAATCCCATCAATCAACTTAATACTCAAAGTTGATTTAAAATTTTAAAGCCTGATTTATTAATTTTAAAACTGATTAATTGATGAATATAATAGAAGTCATTTCCATATCCGAAATAATGACAGAACGATGAATCGACAGAAATTGCTAGAAACTTCATAACATCAATTTCCAATCTATCATTTTTCTATCACAAATCTATAGATTTCCCATTACGTAACATCTGAAAGTTTTATTTTATTGATTTTTGCGTTGATTACGCTTTGATTTCGAACAGTTGTTCCAATAAAAAAATCACTAGAATAAAAGAGGAATTTAGATCATGATGCGAACAATAAAGAAATCAACAAAATGCAATAAAAATGTCATCGCATTCAATTAGCTTTTGTATCATAACTTGTCGTAGCACAAATGATGACAATGGAAGGAAGCAAACTGTTTGATGTCATGAAACTGACATGCAATATGTTATACGATACTTTCTGTGTTGGCTGTGTTGTATTGTGCTGTGCAAATTTACACACAGAAACTAATCAAGTGGATTTATTGATAAAATATTTGCAGTTGCAGAAAGATTTATTGACACATCAATTATTTCATGATTGCCAGCATTTCCACCAATTAATAAAGGATTGGAATTCGAAGAGCTTTACTTTTTGTTGATGATAAGTGAAATTGACTTTATTAACGAGTAAATGTTTACTTTTTCTGTTCCAGAGAGGTTTGAACATTGTTTTTTTTGAGGTTATGAAGTACTTTTTGGTACTCAAAAAAAATTGTTGGCGGTTGCAATTCTAATGTCGGTTCAGGTAGACTTGATCAAATAAGAGTGTAGAATCAAGAATAATCAGGTCCATGAATATCGCAGGCTTTTGTTGACACTTCTCATATGCCTGTCATTTTGTATTAAATCCTTAAAAAACATTTACGTTTAAAAATTCTACATTGAAGTCATAAAATCAAAAAAACTTTTCCCTCTTTAACAGTTTCTGCATGTTTAACGCCATACCCGTCTCTGAATTGTTCACATTTAATGTACCGAAAAAAAAACAACACCTAATTGGCACACTTGAATAAATTTTAATTCCTGTTTTTGCCTTCCGTAAACATTATTATAAATACAAAAACATAAGCTTTTTATTCTGTGATTTACAGCACTCATTATGATAAATTGGGATACCTTTTTATGCAAATGTTCATTTTTACTCCGATATAATAAATGAGTACTGAAAAATTCAGATGAACAACAATGCATACATAAATTTATATGTATAAGTTCATATGAACAGGTATAGAAAGTATGGAGGCACATAAAAAATTTAATCGGAAGTATGAGTTGCACAGTAAACGACATTCATCGATATTTTTTACTACCCAGAAGCTATAGAGCATGCGATTTTCAAAGCGAACAAATATTTATTCGTTTTTTACTATTATTTGACAAACTTTATGTTATATTTATTGCGCTTCATATTAATGTAGACCAGTGGATGATGAACTGGTCAGTGGTGCAAACTTTTTGGTCATTGACACATGTTTTTGATAAGGGGCCGTTCACTTATTACGTTCGCATTTTAGTGGGGAGGGGGGGAAAGTTGAAAAATTGTAACAAAATGTAACATAGGGGGAGGGTGTCAAGAAGTATGTAACGTTCTAACTGTCGTCTGTCTTTTAAAAAAAAGTTCATGAAAAAAAATTGTTTACAAATTCACACCAAAAACATTTTTTTAAATTTTCCACCTTTTTATCAAAATAAAATAAATTATGAACGTTCAGGGGGGGGTTGTAAGTTGTAACATATTGTAACAAGGGGGAAGGGGGGGGGGTGAAAAAAGCGTAACGTATTAAGTGTAAATTACTTCCTGATGAGCTGAAGAAGCTGAATGACGCAATGACTTCGTGAATCAGGAAACAATTTTTTCAAATTGGGTCTAATTTAAAAGTTGCAAATACAATTTAAATTTCAAACGACAGTTGATATATTTTCAGCAGGATCTGACTCTGAAGTAGCATATTTAAACTTGCAATCTTCGTTTGAAACTCCACTGCTTGATTGTAAGCAACCTTTGTGGTAAGCTATGTCCGAAACCAAACACATCACACGGCTTATGGGATTTCTTGAATTTTTTCGCGACACATGAACCAACAATGCATTACAGCAACAATTTTGAGGATTTCTGACGCCACCAGTCTACCTAAACTCCTGATTTGTGCTCTAACACTTATTTTAATATCCACAAAGTCAATAATGATGTGAAAGAAATTTTTATTAAAATTTTATTTGGTTTAAAATCGATTTTTTTACTCACATCGAGCAAACACATAAAGATATGCGATATGTTATGAAATTTTATGAACTGTATTTTATGATCTTTATTGCTATACACACAGAGATGATAGAAACACGATATTTTTTTGTGAAAGCCATAAAGATTTTTTTTTCTCAAAAAACATGCTAGATGATAAGAGATAGAAATTAATTTTATTATGCTTGAAATTCTACACGAGAACTTCATCTTAATGTACATCCTTAGCTTTTTTGAAGGTTAACTGCTATGATGTGGGACATAATGTGACATTAAAGGATCCATATGATGAACATTTATAGATTTCAATTTTATGTGGATATAGGATTAATATCATCTTGGATTTTCATCTTAGAATATGAATATCATTCAAAGTAATTACTTCTCATCCTGATTAAAGACTAAGAATTAATTTTTGTGGTTCAGTAAATACGATGGAGCAATATAAGGAACGAACAATTACGTGTTTCATTACGGGACTTAATGGATTTCTTATTTTCCCATTACACTTTGGTAATGACGCAATGAAGCTTACAATTTGTGGTATTTACATCAAAGCTTTCTTATTAATTAATTCTATTCACATTTCAATCATTCATTATGAATTCAAATGTGGTTTCTGTGTGCTTAGTTACAAAGGAAATGACTGATCAATCGGGAGTTTGAAATGAAGTGAAGTTGGTTTAACAAAAAGGGATTGTAGCTAATAAGTCATTCCAGCTCAATGATTCTTGGAATGAACTTTGTGAGTAATTATTTTACTTTCGTTTAGATAAAATTATTGATGCAAGTAGAAAAGGTTTGTTTAAGCACAAGAATCGTTTGGGAATTAAGAGGATTAACTATCAACTACTATCCCCCCATAGAAGGGGGGGGGGGGGCCCAGTGTGATGTTGAATTGAAGTCAAATTAAAAGTGACTTGAAAAAAATTCAAAGTCAAATTATGTAGAAAAACTTACTAGTACAAGACTAAAGACTTTAAGACACAAATAATGTCAAAAATCTAATTAAACTTTAAACCCCTGAATCTCACAAAATCTAAAACTAGACTAAAACATTAATCTTGCTGTCCAAAATTAGATTAAAATTACTCTAGTTCCATTTACTATTTGCAAAATGTCAAAACAATACTTAAACTTAATTAGTTGGAACTAGAAAGAAAGCAACATGAAAATTAAATAAAATCACACCTCGCAGCTATTCATTAGAACTGTAAAGAATTAACGACTCCCTCGTATCTGTAACTTTGATGACTATTATTACAATATCAAGTCACGTTATTATTGTAAACTTGATTCCAGTATGTTGTGTACTTAATATTCCTTATGCATAACACAACAGAGAGCTGAAATGTCAACAGTTGTTAATTAAATGAATTCCTTTACAAACTGTGATTAACGAGTTCATTTTCATCACCACAGGCATGTGGATGTTATTAAATTACACATCATTTTTTTCGGATGTAATCAATTTACTCACCACAAATATATACATAAATTTATTAATGGTACCTTTGAATATAAAAAAAAATATGTAATATCCAACTGCTGGGTTGTTTTGTACAAGAGTACGGTGCCATTATCATTTATACAATGCATTTTTCGAAGAGATTGTGGCAAAAAGGCACGCATGGGAAACCAGAGAAAAAATTGTGAAAGGATGTCATAATATATTCCAAAAAATTTACAATACTATTAAAATAACAGGAAGATGTCAGGGATAGGAAGATACTGAGTGGCTACTGAGGGTCTTTGATTTTAGTAGGTCGTGTTCAAATCAAATCAACTCAGTTACAGGAAACAAAAATGGTTTTTGAGGATCTATTGATTGTGGTTATGGTTCGATTCCCATTGACTAATAATACTGTATGTCGATTACGACAAGAAAATTAATTAAAATATTAATTTTAATTTGAGATTTAAGTGATGATTTAACCTTTTATTTTATTTTTTGATTCACAATTTTAATTTTTTAATTTTTATTTCACTTTGTGTTTTTTGTTTTATTTTAATTTTATATTTTCACTTTAATCCTGTAAAATGTACCATGTTAGTTTTATTACAATATAATTTTTTGTTGATTTCTTACTCTTTTTCCCTTTTTAATTAATTTCCTATTTTGTCTTCCTTCCTTCTTGCTTGATTTTTTATTTTAAAGAGAGCGAGTTCAGTAAAATTTTGTTCTACCTTAAGTAGATCAATCCAATTCAAATATTTAAAATTCCGTTAAAATTCAAATGACTAAATATCGTTAAAATGACTTTAATTCATAATGTGAATTGACACTCGAGAAGGAAAGGAAACCAAATTACATATTGCCTGAATTGGGAACAAATGAAATTTTTATATTAAAATACTCAGCAATAGCACTTCCAGGAATGATCATGCTTTGATTAGCTAGTCCTCTAACTATATTGTTGCGCTGCATTGCTAATCGACTCTCGTCCAACTGACTTCTCAAATCCATATAACCGCTTCCTAAAGCATTGATACTGTTGGATGGTGTTACAGGAGCGTTATATGATTGAAATCGAGGAAATGGAGGTATTGACATTGCAGTTGCTGTTATCTGTTGATGATTTTGACTTGTCTGATAACTAGTCTGCTGATTGTACCTCTTGCTTTAATTGTTAAATATCTATCGAACGCAAATAAATTATCTATTCCAATAACTCCTGAAAGATTATCATAGTCTAATAATTTTAAACCCTGAAATTGAGAATAATTCTCATATTCTTTTACATTAAACTTTTGATCACACATTTTTAGATTTCTTACTGTCCTAAAATGTAATTCATATTCTTTTTGACTTTCATTGAGGCTTTTTACCTTGACTTTCACAATTCTGGATAACTTCTCCCTTCTAGAATAATTTCCTGACCATAATAATGTCAATGGAAACCAAGGACCTTTTAAGTCTAACTTATTGGCTAACTCCTCCTCTATTAAAGACACAGTACTTCCTGAATCTAAAAGAAAGGCAGCCTGTTGCCCGTTTTGTAATTCCAATACAATAACACCCAATAGAGTTTTATCATTATTAGATGATTTATTGTTATTTTCAGATCTTTGTCCATTAAAGACATTTATGTGATTGTTTTTAGAAGGTGGGTTAAAAGTTTTATTGACATTGCTGTCATGTTTTGGGGGATCATGCATATATTTAACATCTTTTATATTGGTGAATCTTTTTATGATTTCCTGTAATTCAGCTTCTGAATCATCATCTTTTTCAGGCTCATTACTATTGGAAGCTTCAGACCTTTTAAAACTTTTATATTGATATTTCTTTTTATCAGGTTTAGATCTGTTTTTTTCCATAGAATTGTTTGACTTGCTTACTACTTTTCGCTTAAAACAAAAGAGTGAATGATGTAGAAATCCGCAACCTTCAGTTCTACATTTAAGCTTATGGCTAAAAGGACATGGACTATGCTGCTTTTGACCACAATATGTACATATGTGGTTTAATTTTGCTAAACTAGCTACAGATTTGCCATCCATCTGCCATAAGGCTTTACATCTGTTTCCTGTGTGGTCATTGGTTTTATGATACCAACACAGAAAATCATTTTCGTTACTTGTGTATTTTCCCACGGGTGTTTTACTAGTATTAGCTTTAAATTCATTGCTTTCATAATTCATGTTATTAAATCTTGATGATTTATTTCCAAATTTTGGACGAAAATTGTTATCCGACTTTTTATCTACAACGCGAATTTTATCATTTCGTATACTAGCTTCAATTCTAGGAATCTCTTTATCAAATACTTCAACCATATGAACCAGAGATGGTGTTATATGAGCAAATTCTAAATCTGCCTGTTTAGATTCCCATTTATTTCTCAACTGATACGGTACAATATTTCCAATGTTAGCTAGAAACCTACGATTAGTTAAATAAGATTTGTCATCATATACTTCTGCTATGGTACAAAAATTTCTAATCTTGTCTATATATTCTACGACTTTCAGTTTATTTCCAGCTTTAATCTGCGGAAATTGCTCAATTTCATAAGCCTCATCCGTTAGAAAATTCATACTTTGCTTTAAACGATTATTAACATTTTCTATGCATTTTACATAAGTCTGTAAGTTAAATAAGCCTTTTCCTCCTATTCTTTTTACCGTTGTATCCTTAATAGCTTCTTGGATTCTTAAAACATTCTCATAATGTGTAAATAAATCTTTAGTATCCATAAAGGATGCATAAAATATGCTCCATGATACATCAGCATCAACTACTTCGGGAAGCTTCTTAAGTTGGAGTTTAAAAAAGAATTGTTCAGAGGTAACAGTTCTGTTAGATATTAATGTATTTAGATTTTGAGAAATTTTATTTGGATTATTTCTATTTGGTCCTGTTGACCTTAAGTTTTCCTCACTGGATAAATCTAATTCCATTGGGTTTAAATTGTTGACTATGTTAGGATAAGTTTGTTTAAGAGCTGTATCTCTCCCACTATTTTCATTATTGACTTTATTAATCTTAAAAGTTTGTCGTATTAACAAATCGACACAAAAACTACATACAAAGGATTCATATTCTTTCTCTAAAGTACTTTCTTCTCGACTATCTATACAAAACGGATGATATTTGTGTTCACAGCCTTTGCAAGTATAAGCATGTTGCCTCAAAGACTGTTTGCAAGCAAAACATTTTGCTAGTTCATTCTGATTTTGGGAATTAGTGGGAGTGGATCCAGGAATTCTTTGTAAATTGAAATCATTTGCAGTATTTGAAGATCCAGCTTCGTGCTGATTCTGTTCAGGAGTTACATTTATTGAATTAATATCTGTTATAGTACGATTATTGTGTGACATATTATCACTTATGTTTAAAACGGAATTAAAATAATAACTTAAATTGAACGAGTGTTCTGGACAAGACCAACTTCTTACATTTAGCTTTCGTTTATTCTCTATACAATATTTATGAACCCAATAATGGCACCTGTTATCCTCGCATTTAAAAGTATTTCCCACAAGATTTGATTTTTTATTACATATAAAACACAGTCGCATTAAACGACTTACAAAATATTAAGTCCCAAACAATCTGGATCCACTGGATCTTTTTAATTTCTGGATGAAGTGTGACTTACTACCCAGTAAATTTAGTTTCTAATTCTTGGAGATTTATTAGCTTATGTTCAACTTTATTACTTGAGAAATCGCTTAAAACGATTGGATAATTTTATTATTAGATGATTACAACCTCATTGACTGGATCTTTTCAAATTTTAAGAAAAATCTTTTTTGACTCACCACACAAATTAATGTAGATTTGGCAGAAATAAATTCTTATAACGATCGCGATACTTCCTTCTTTTGATGAATCAGCTCTTAATTATTCTTAATTTCCTTCTGGTGTCTCTTCAGATCCGTCTTACGAGATTTCAGGTTAAAATTTTTTCTTTCACTTTTCTTAATATATTTTTTTGCTTTTCTCTTTTAAATAAAGAGATTAAAGATTGTCGATTACGACAAGAAAATTAATTAAAATATTAATTTTAATTTGAGATTTAAGTGATGATTTAACCTTTTATTTTATTTTTTGATTCACAATTTTAATTTTTTAATTTTTATTTCACTTTGTGTTTTTTGTTTTATTTTAATTTTATATTTTCACTTTAATCCTGTAAAATGTACCATGTTAGTTTTATTACAATATAATTTTTTGTTGATTTCTTACTCTTTTTCCCTTTTTAATTAATTTCCTATTTTGTCTTCCTTCCTTCTTGCTTGATTTTTTATTTTAAAGAGAGCGAGTTCAGTAAAATTTTGTTCTACCTTAAGTAGATCAATCCAATTCAAATATTTAAAATTCCGTTAAAATTCAAATGACTAAATATCGTTAAAATGACTTTAATTCATAATGTGAATTGACACTGTACACACACTCATAAAAATATTTTTAGTAATTTGTTATTAAAATCTTATTAAAATTTTTTTAATGAGAATTATTAAAATTTTAGTAAACCTTATCAAACTTTTAGTAAAACTTATCAAATTTTAATAAAAGTTTTTAAAATCCTACAGCGTTGTAAAACTGTTGTAGGTTTCCAAAATTGTAAGGTTTTCATACATTTTATATACTTCACAAACGCTCCAAGAAATGACTTATACAAAAGAATGTCTTAGTTCTCATACAAAGTCATATAAAATTATTAATTTCTTATGAGGCACATTAAGTGCCAAAAATCATGCAAAGTCTTAAGCTTTGAGAAAGCATTTTACTTAAGACTTAAAAAAGCTCCATACTATAAATTAATTATACTATAAAGCTGTTTTTGTAAAAAAAATAATCCAAGAAATTTTAATGACTTTTTACTAAAATCCATGAACAAATTTAATAAAAATTATAAAAAATTCATCTTAATAACTTTTTACTAAAGTTTAGTAAGAAAATTATTAAAATTTTAACGGTTTTGTAAAATTTGAATGCAATTTTGTAAAACCAAAACTTTTAATAACCCTTATCAAATTTTAGTAAAAGTTATCAAGATGTATTTTTATAAACTTTTATTAAACTTTTTCATACATTTTTAATAAAATTTATTAATTTTTTTTTATGAGTGCATACATCAATTATAGGGAGATCTAAGTGGATAAAGTAATAAAGGGAGGTCACGAGTGGAACAATCTTAACCAGGTCTGCACATAAAAGTTGATTTTGAATTTAGTGATAGATTCCTTGAGCGGGGTAAGTACCCAAGTTACAGAATAACATCATATTTTCTGTAATAAATTGATAAGAATCGAACCCTTGATCTCGAAAGGGTTACAGATTTCTGGTATATTGTCTAGCCTTTTGGGCCACAGAGACCTTAATTTCACACTGGCAGATTCACTTATATATGACTTAATGGTATCCAAGACTACACTCTGCTTAGGAGTCAATTCATCATCATAAGCATCTGTAGTTGTCATCTTAGGGATGCCATAGATCACAATTGATCTATTTTTAAAGACAGCCTGTCATCCTTAAAAAAAACTTCAGAATAAAATTTTAATAAAATGAAACCATAGAAAATTTACATTTAGGTTTACAACTATTCACCTTCCGGAATAGCTCATTCAGATTACATAACCTGTCTCAATGTAACACATTTTTTTGCCATTTGTTCTCTTGAAAAGGACCATGAAATATGAACTGAGGAGACCTTAACAGAGACAAACGAATGCGATGAGTGATATGTATAGCATAACACAGTTAGGAAGTCTTTAATCAAAAATTTTATCATGTCATATGACATTATTTATACTTTCCCATCTCTATTCATGATAAAAAATAAAATAATATTCATATACCTTATCTATATGCTGATGTATGCCTTTTTTTTGTCACTGTTTACAAACATGCTTCGTTAGAGACGTTGATAAGGAGATAAAAAAGAAGGAAACTTTTCAGACAAACAAAATAAAGCTGCATGTAGACGATGGAAATTAATAAAATTTCACTCATGTTGTTAGTCTTCACTTTTGAGTCTTCCTGCATGTTTATGAGTGTAGGATGATATTCATGAAGGAGATGTTTGTTATGCTGCAAGTTTTATGAACTTGATTAAAATAATTATTTTTTACATTTTTAATTAAATAAATTGAAAATGAACTATGAATAAAAATTCAAACTAAAGAGTTAAGTTCATTAACAATGCTTTTAAGCAACGAGGCAAAATTAATCCTTAAAAAAAGAACTGTTGATTGCAAAAAACTTAATCTCGTATTAAATCTCTTAAACCATCAGTCGTCTCATAAAAAATTCTATTCCAAAATAAAGTGGTTCAAAAAATTCCAATTTTAAATATTAAAGACTCACATGACGAGCAAAAATATAAAACAAGAGCTGCAACAAAAAACTCTTATTATCCCGATCGACACACATTGAAATTTTTGCGACCCGTGATATTATATTAGAACCAAGTGGCAGCAGCTTGAAAGCAACTTCCAACTGTATGCCAAATGGTTGCCACGTGGATGCTGCTGCTGCTGTTTGGTCCTAATTATACTATTAACCCGATTGCCGGGTGGCAAACATTTCAATGAATTTCACTGTGTGCCGATCGGGTATGCTCTGATTTAATTTACTCGCATACTCAAGATGGATTACTGCCACAATGAGTATTTTTTAATTTTCAGTTCACACGATGTTTAAAACAATGTGCTTTAAAACCAGAAAATGCTTTTGTGAATTGAATTTTTCCATAGTTTGGTTAAACAATAGTTTTCTACTCAAATTGTGAAATTGAAAGAGAATTTTTTAATTTGATATTTTCCGGATGATGGGAATTTGTGCTAATCTCATTTTGAATAAGTACGTTGTGTGTTTGATTAGTTATTAAATGTCTAGTAAGTTTTTAAAAAATGAGGAAACCTTACTTTTGAATAGGTAAGTTTGATGGACTTTCAGGTTGACAGTCTCAGTTTATTGCATAATTTCTGTTAAAATTCTGTTTTTGCTGATGTTTTGTTTGAGTTATTCTTAAACTTCATGAAATTACTATAGACTAAGCATATCTGATGCGTGTCTAAGGAAGGCGCATAACCTCACACGTAAGATTGCACTACAGATTGCAAATTCAAGCTAGAATGACTGATCAGTAGACCGTGGACTTAAAGTAAAGTTGAAATTTGAAATCAGCAAGAACGTGTTATTCGGAATATATAGAAAAATAAATCTTATATTGACTTAAGCGACTTAACTATTGAATGTTTAAGATATCAGCCAGAAATTGAAGTTTCTTCTTTTAGAAGTGTAGATTCAAGTCTAACCTTAAAAGGTAAAGCTGGGTAAATCATGGAGAGGATCCAGCTTTTTGAGCTGAAGGCAATTCGATTCAAATTAGAACAGATATTGTACCACACCCTTTAGACTTACAGTTTAAAAACGAATCTGAACCACTAGCACCTTGAAAAAAAGACCATCATTAGGAGATCAACAATCTTTAATATATTTCTGAAATATTCAAATCCCTGAGTCAAGCAATCAACATAAGCTTCATGTCACAAAACAAAATAAAATGCGTTCAGACAAGTTTTCAAATCTCACAGAAACTTTTATTCAGGATTTCATAATTTTCATAAAAAAAATGCTGATATGTAGAGTACGTGAAACTTTTGCAGAACTATAGGAAAAATCTCTCATAATATGTGAATAAGGCACTAAAAAGGCTCACTTAAAATACTAGTATTGTGCACAAGCATTTCCTCGTACGAAATGAATGATGATAATGCATTTATTTTAAAAAATTCATTAACATTCAGAGAATATATTTCCTACATGTAATGAAAATTGTAACAATCAACTGCAAACTTCTTGCTGTGTATTTTAATTTAAACAAGTTTTGAGGCAAAATGAAAAATGAAAAAGTTCCTCTTTTTTTAAATTCAATTTTGCTGTGAAAGTAAATTTTTATGAAGCTTTAAATGTTCTTAAACAAAAGTTTGATGAAGTCAGATGATTTTGAGGAAGTTAAAAAGAAAGTTTTTAAAAGAATCCCAAAAAAGTTCTTTAACCTCAAACTTTAATCTAATGGAAATTCATTCACATTGATGAAATTTTATGGCAGTTTATAATCACTTCTGCATGCAGTAAAATGAAAATAAATGAATATTTCAACACCTAAATTGCTCCTTCCTCACCATAAATAAACATTCATTTGCATGTCGACAATAAATATGAATAAATGTATTTGCATAAATGCAGGTGAAGTCCGTACATAAAATATTTATTTCCTTGCTGCAAACAGCTTTATCGATTGATATTATGGAGAAATTTTAAAATCTCTTAATGAGGTCTGACTATTAATTAAATTACGTTA